TGCAGGTGCGGGTGGGTAGATTTATTTGTACAAAGGTTTGCTGATGAGTGAGGAAAACGCCCTCTGCTATTTATTCTGCCAGGATATTGGAGGCGAGAGAGTGAGTAGCAAGGTGTAGAAAGTTGAGTGAAGTTTGGAACAGCTGCTTTGTGCAGTCCTGAGAGCTGAGTGGTCCTAGTGCAGACTGCTTCGAGAGGGCCTCGGAGAACCTGGTGCAGTGGCGGCGAACCTACTCCCACGGGGCGCTGTTTGCGTCATTGAGAACTAGGTTTGCCTAACGTGGTTTTGGAAGCTATTAATTCGGAGCGGATCCATCCAGACAGTTGTGCCTTTTTCTAGCCGCACCCAGACCTGCACATGTAAAGCCAGAAAAATGGTTGATGATTACATTGATCCTGAGCCTGGGAAAAGACGGAATGAAGCAGAGAGGGTACTGACAGACTGGGAAAGTTAGAGAACTGAAGGTATCGATTGGGCCCAATTATAGTGTGGTGAAAGTGGCAGCAAACAGGAAGCACTTATGTAAAGTTGATTGTCTTTCTCACTGCAAAAAAATGAAGGCAGGGTTTTGTTTTGCTTTGCTTTGCTTTGCTTTGCTTTGGTGTTCTGTTTTGTTGTTTGGTGTTTTTGACATCGGTTTCACTGTGGAGTTCAGGCTGGCCTTGACCTCCTGCTTCAGCCTCCCAGAGTGCTGGGATAATAGACCTGTGCCACCACACCCGGCCTGTTGTGTTGTTTTGCTTTTTTGTTTTTGTTTTGTTTTTGACACAGGGTTTCACTATGCAGTTCAGGCTGATAGTGAACTTACTTTGTAGCCCAGGTTGTCCTTAAACTCACAGCAATCTTCCTGCCTCAGCCTTCCAAGTGCTGGGATTACAGGTGTGCCCCACCACACCTGGCTTTTTTTTGGTTGTTGTTATTTTCCAGTATCAGGAATCGAACTCATGACCTTGTGCTTGCCAGGCAGGCACTGTGTCGCCGAGCTAAATCCCCGGCCCCTACACCTGGTTTTTTGAGATGAGGTCTCATTAAGTAGTCCACACTGGCCTGGGACTTGCTCTTTAGCCCAAGCTGACCTCAAACTCTAGATTCTCATATTCCAGCCCCCCGAGTACTAAGATTACAGGTTTACTTAGGACAGTTGTTTGCATATACAAACAAAAATACGGTAGGAGTTCCCATAAAAATCATAACAAGGCTAGTTTTTATATAGGTATGAAATTGGCCTGAAATGAGTTTAATAGAATTTACTTCGGTCTATCTCCTAGGGTTTTTCATTGATTGTACTGTAATTACCTGATCAATTTTATGGCTTAGTTATGATTAACACGTCTCTTTTCCTTCTTACCTATCTGATGATTATTTTCTGAGAGGCACCCTTAGGAATATAGCAGTGAATCACACAAAAATCTGTGTCCTTATGGAGTTAAAGTCTCGTCAGGGAGGAACATTAAGAAATAAAGCATGGGGGCTGGGGATTTAGCTCAGCGGCAAAGCGCCTGCCTGGCAAGCGCAAGGTCGTGAGTTCGGTTCCCGGTACCGGAGAAAAACCAAAAAAAAAAAAAGAAATAAAGCATGTTAGGTGGTAAGAACTGTGAAAGAAATGAAGGTGGGTTGGGAACAGTGCTGGGAGCCTTCTGAGAGAGACTGAAGACTTGAAGGGAATGAGCCGTGTAGGTGGGACAGGGGCAGAAGTTCATGTCATGGACAGTAAATACAGAAACCCTCTAGGTGACCCTATGCTTGTACACATGAGGAGCAAGGAGGCCGAATGGCAGGGCTGCAGTGAGCTGTAGCAGATGGGGCAGAGGTGGTGGGAGATGGAGACTGTACTGGTTCAAGGACCTTCACTTTTCTCCTCGTGGGTAAGTTTTCTTTTCTTTTTTTTTTTTTCATACCGGGAATTGAACTCAGAACTTTGCACTTGCCAGGCAGGCGCTTGTGCTGCTTAGCTATATCCCCGGCCCTTCCTTGTGGGAACTTTTAAAATTTAGAGCACAGAAATGATCAGAACATTTTGTTTTTTTTTTTTTGTACCGGGAATCAAACTCAGGTTCTTACACTTGCCAGGCAGGCACTTTGGTCGCTGAGCTCTATCCTCAGCCTGATTAGAACATTTGAAGTGTTTCCCAGTTTAATGAGATCGTAGTAGTGGGTCTGTAGGGACAGGTTAAGGAAGGACAAGGGCAGAAGCAAGAGAGGTGGGAGGCTATTGCTATAATCAAAGGTACTGTCTTCCATTCTCCCCATCCATCCCTGGACATTTGTTTTTCTGACAAAAGAAATTCTCTCTTTCTCTCTGTCTGTGTCTCTGGACAGAGTCTTGTTGTATAGTTCAGGCTGGCCTCTTAACTCATGGTGATCCTCCTGCCTCAGCCTTCTGAGTGCAGGAATTTCAGGCGTGCACCACCATGCCTGGCAAGAGAAGTGACTTTTTTTTTGGTAGGTAGGGTCTCCCTATGTAGGCCCAGGGTGGCCTTGAACTTGCTATGTAGCTGAGGGTGAGCTTGAATTCATGGGCATTCTCCTGGCTCAGTCTTCCAAGTGTTGGGATGACAGGCATGTGCCACCACGCTTGGCAAGAGAAGTCATTTTTAAGAAATTTTTAAAACTACTTTATATAATATACTATCATGCACTGCATAGTATATAACTCACTACTAGTCACTATTGACAAATGTCTTCTTTACTAATTAATTGTATGTGGACAGTTAACCTACATGTACTAGGACAGGATCTTTAAAGTATTTTTTAAATGATACTGTCTTTTGTTGCTTAATTCTCATTCTCTGTCCTGGCCCTTTTCTTGACCAGTGATATGAATGTTTAACCTAGTCAGTCTCTGACAAAAGAAAGTACTGTTGTTTAAAGTTTACTCATCTGGATAAAAGTTAAACCTCTGAATGTAATCTAATTAGAAGTTTCTGCAAACTGAATTTATTAGTTGCAGAAAGTTAATTCAATGTTGAGGGATCACAAATTGTTTGCATTCTTTCCCTTGATAAAATCCCCTAATATTACTGATTGTTCTCTAGACAGCAAAGAAAATCTGCCTGAAAAATCTGTAGATTTAAAAAAAAAAGAAAAATCTATAGATTTTGTGTAATGAACATTAAATTTATAATATATTTTAGCAAACCTAAGATGCAGTTGATTAAAGGACTTTTATTTTTAAGGGTCTGGCCATGTAGTCCAGGCTGCCTTTAAAACTCTTGCAGGGCGTGGTGATGCACACCTGTAATCTCAGCATTTGGGAGGATCCTTGCAAGTTCGAGACCAGCCTGGGTTACAAAGTGAGCTCAAGTCTGACCCTGTCTCAAAAGGACAAAAATAAATAAATAAAACTGTCAATCCTCTGGCCTCTGCCTCCTGAACTGCCAGGGTAAGAGGCATGCACCACAACACCCAGCTCCTAAAGTGTATTTTAGTAATAGTGTTTATTTATTTACTTTGGTTTTTTGAAACAGGGACTTCCGATGTAGTTCAGGGTGGCTTTAAATTCACAGTGTAGCCCAGGTTGGCCTCAACTCACAGCGGTCCTCCTAGCTCTGGCTGTGGGGTGCCAGGACTACAGGCCTGCACCACCCAGCTGACCAGTATTTAGCTTTGTCCTCAGCCCCTACACTTAGGATTCTACTTAATATACTTCTGTGTGTATAGTGTGATACTGGGGATTGCACAAGTCCCGGACTTCTTAACTGGAGTTTTCAAACAGCCTAGTTAATTAGACTTTAATTATTTAAAAAAAATTTTTTTTAATTTTTTCTGGTACCAGGAATCAAACTCAGGACCTTGTGCTTGCCAGGCAGGCTCTTGTGCCACTGAGCTATATCCCTGGTCCTTAGACTTCAATTATTTCATACCTTTGCAGCTGGCTAAGATTTTTTTCCAATCGGATTTTATTGGTGCATTTTAGATACACATAGTGATCACAGTTGTCATAGAGAATTTGTACCTGTACGTAATATAATTTCATGCTTTTTTCCCCCTTTCCTCCACCCTCCTTTCAACCCCACCTCTCTTCCCCATTTACAAAAGTTTTGTTTGCATGTTTTCCTTTTATCTTTTTCCTTATTTTGTCTTTTTGCATGTTTGACTCTTTTGTAATTTGACTCTTTTGTAATAGAATCATATTATTTAAAAAGAGTAAGAAGCTGAGTGTGCCTGTAATCCTCACTAGGCAGAGGCAGGAGGATTGCCTTGAGTTCCCTTGGCTACATAGTGAATTCAAGACCAGCCTGAACTACATAGGGACACCATGTCTCAAAAAAAAAAAAAAAGAGTAAGAAGTAAGAGTGGAATGTAATATTTATAAGTAGAATTAAGCCAGGTCTGATGGCACACACCTTAATCCTAGCACTTTGGGAGGCTGAGGCAGAAGGATCAAAAGTTCATCCCCAACCTGAGTAATTTAACAAGACCCTGTCTCAAAAAAAAAAATCATGCCAGGCATGGTGGCATATGCTTGTAATCCCAACACTCTGGAGGTTGAGGCAGGGGGATCGCCATGAGTTCCAGGCCATCCTGAGAATAACATTTATCACAGGACTCTGTCTCAAGAAAACCTAAATGAATAAATATAGCCATAGTACTTTAGAATTAAAAGAATGCAAGGTGTGATAAAAAATAGAATGAATGTTAAAAAGTTTTAAAAAAAATACAAAACATAAAAAGAGGGATTGTAGCTCAGTGCATAGGGCCTGGGCTCAATCCCGAGTACAGCAGAACACATACACAAAGAATAAAAGTGGAATTATTAGTGTAGGGGCCAAGGACGTAGCTGAATAGTGGACCATTGCCTACAGACACACTGGTGAAGGTAATAGCATTACCCAAAGCATCTGCCCCTGAGTATATTCTCAGGTAAAATGAACTTTTGTGTTCTCTTATACTTGAGGTTATTTTGTCTTGTTTTTGTATTGTGTTACTGTCTGAAAAAGAATGAAATTATATAAAAGCGCAGAATTTTCATTAAGATAATACTTGTTTTCTTTTTCTAGCTTAAAGCAATAAATGTAGATCTTCAAAGTGATGCTGCTCTGCAGGTGGACATTTCAGATGCTCTTAGTGAGAGGGATAAAGTGAAATTCACTGTCCATACAAAGGTAAGCGGGATATTGCTTTTGTGTTATCTCAGCCATTGATTAGTGTTGTGCTGATGTTATTTGTATGTTGATTGGAATTCAGATTCTGAACATAGCTAGAAAGAAACATTTTAGTTTATAATTCCTGTTATTTGACCAAAAAAAATTTTCGGGGAGATGCACTTTTTATTTTTTTAAATTTTATTTTAAAGAGAGGAAAAAAACCCAAAATTTCAAAACAAGATAAATAGTAGAGTGACAATGATTATTATATTATGTATTGTTACCTTTAAATTACTCAGAGTACAAGATATAGGCATTTAATTGTCCAATATTATTAGCACACTTTTCTTTTCAGTGAATTAAGAGAAAGTAATATAACTATTTTGTTATGTATAGAGAAATGTACTTTTTAAACATGAACATTAGAAGACTCATAGAACCTAAATATAATGCAAATTTAATTTTCTCTAGGCTTTTGTTGACATCTTTTAATATAATTGTGATTTTCAGTTGTGTTGTGTTCCTTCAGTTAGATTACTGTCTTTTTTTT